TAACTTACTTTCAAGATATAGGCCGAAGCGCGCGGCACCCCCGCTGCCCGGGAAATAATTTTTTTCCCCGAAAAATTCGCTTTATTTTACACTTTTTGCGTGACCTACGAGTGTTTATTACAGTTAACCATTGTAAATCCGTTTTCTCTCATCACTGATGAGAGAGGTCAGACCCTCTCTTCACCTTCAGGGGAAATATCGATAGAAATTTTTTCCTCGGGGCGTCATATTATGCTATGTATTTTTTTTTAAGGTGTACTTTTTATGTTTATATGCTATTATTATATTGCATTATATCATAATAGATCAATTGTGATAGATAAATAAGCCTTATAATTGATATTAGCGTGGGTATGGAATATTTTGTTGGCTGGAGGTGTCGGCCATTTTGTGCACTATTCCCAGGGTTCCCGATTGGTGCCGTGACCATATTAGCTCCGCCCGCTCGGGAATGATCTCAGATGGTGAATTTGTATTATATTAGACAAAGATATAAGAAAACGATAAAAATAACACGGGGAAAAACGTAACAAAAACGTAAACAAAGCCGAGTCAGCGCTTCTTACGCAATATGTTGCGTCAGCGCTGTCACCATGCCTGTTATAAATGGCTGTAATTCCTTTTAGAAACATCGTACAAGGATAATAATTATACCAGCGTGTAGCCAGAAAGTTCAGCTATTTTTTGGTAACAATAACTCAGTTTTCATATATTTTCAAATTTTTTTTTGCTCCGCGCGCGGGAACTCAGTATCATATGATACTGTATGCAATGTAAAATTTACAATACAGTTCACTACCATGTATACATTATATACAGTATATAAATAATTAAAATATAACAATAGAAGTAAATTATGGTAAAAAGAATGAAATAATGATTGTACATTACATTACAGTACTATGTAGGTGGTTTATATAGGAAAGGTTTGACATTATGCCCTACCCAGTACATCGGCAATTTTTAAAGGTTTGACTTAGGTCCATTTTGACTTACGACTGGTTGGTCGGAACTAAGCTTGGTCGTAAGTTGGATGGTACCTGTCTTTTGTTTTTGCTTTTTATTTTGTGACTCTCTTTAATTTCACTGTGAAAAATGTCAAAAAGAGCTGCAGTAACCCCTATCAGTAATAGTGAGAAAAAGAAAAGGAAGCATCTGATGTTATCAATAATGCAGCAAGTAGAGTTACTGCAGAAGCTTGATCGTGGTGTGTCAGTGCGGCATCTTACTGAAGAATATGGTGTTGGAACTACCACTCTTTATGATTTAAAGAAACAGAAAGACAAGTTACTGAAGTATTATAGTGACAGTGATAACCAAAAACTAATCAAAAAAAAGAAAACACTGTATAGGGCAAAAAAATGAAGATCTTGACTGTGTGCTAATGGAGTTACAGGAAGCTGACATCGAAGAAATGCTGAACATTGACAATGATGCACCTGTTGTGCATTCCTTGACTGATGGTGAAACTGCTGAAATGGTGTTAAATACAAATAAGCAATTGCTAGCCTTGAACAACGTGCATTTATCAGTGAGCAAGAGATTATGGCAATTTACTCAGATAAAGAGAGATTGCTTAGACAGAAATCTATGTTAATAAGAGAGATGACACTTGAAGAAGTCTTTAAAAAAGCGGTCTGTCAATTGTCTTGAAAATAGTCTTAAGAATCATGTTCCTGGTCTATAATTATCCCATTATTTCATTTATCAATATATTACTCCATAAATAAACCGTAGTAGCATTTGTCTTTATTTATCCCACTTAGTGTGAGTACTCATACAGTTTTGCTGCAGTGTTAGTGTTTGATTATGGGGTGCTGCCCTAGACCCCACCTTCATTCTGAAATTCGAAAAATTCTGAAATTCGAAACATTACTGGCCCCAATGGTTTTGGATAAAGGAATGTGGACCTGTACATTCAAAATACAGCCTCTCCTCACTTAACAACAGAGTTCCGTTCCTAAGATCACGTCAGTAAATGAATTCATCACTAAGTGAGGAGCATACTGTAATGGCAGTCGGTTTGTGTCAATCATCTTTGATATTTTAATGTCAATAAATAACAAAAAAAAGGCACAATACCGTGACTGGAACGATACACAAATAATGTCAAATCTGCACCATTTATAACATCTCTGGTATATTTTTAAATGTTCATACAGTAGTGTACTGTATATTGTAATAAACAGAACAGAGGAAATCAGCTCTAATTACATTATTTAGGTATGCATACTGGTCAGAGAGCATGTTGCAAGTCCAAGTCATTGGTAAACAAGTATGCTGCTAAGTGAGGAGAGGCTGTATACTATTTTATTATCACTAAACAACTGAAAGAAATCTAAATTACCATATTTTAAGCCACATGCAAAAATTAAAATATAAATTACCCTGCATTCAGTATTGCTAAAGTTTTGCATACATGTTTAAGGCTGTCTACTGTCTTGTTGATATCAATGACCATCCTGCTGTCTCCAAGGAACTTGACCACTTTCCACCACATGACACCACCCTCCACCATATGACACCACCCTCCACCACATGACACCATCTTCCACCACATGACACCACCTTCCTCCATATGACACCACCCTCCACCACATGACATACCACCTGAACATGACACCACCCACCACACAAAAGTGCTTCTTTATGATGTACAGTATGCAAGAGTATGCAATAATGCAGTGTCCATGCTAGCTGCATTATTGATAAATGTTTTAACTCTACCTCAGTGCACCCCCACCCACACTGTACCTCTCTTTCAGTGCATCCCTCACTGCATCTCTCCTTCAGTGCCTCCCCCTCACTGCAACTCTCCTTCAGTGCCTCCCCTCACTGCATCTCTCCTTCAGTGCCTCCCCCTCACTGCATCTCTCCTTCAGTGCCTCCCTCACTGCATCTCTCCTTCAGTGCCTCCCCCTCACTGCATCTCTCCTTCAGTGCCTCCCCTCACTGCATCTCTCCTTCAGTGCCTCCCTCACTGCATCTTTCCTTCAGTGCCTCCCTCACTGCATCTTTCCTTCAGTGCCTTCCTCAATGCACCTTTCCTTCAGTGCCTCCCTCACTGCATCTTTCCTTCAGTGCTTCCCTCACTGCATATCTCATTCACACATCTTTACTGCCTCTCTGCCTCACTGCCTCTCTCATTGGCCATCTCTGTCACTGTCTTTAACACCAGCAATAACTATTACATTCACTGCATGTATGATCATATGCACTGAAATAGTAACCATGCAAAATATAATATTATCTACAGTCACTAACTTGTCATAAATTATTAATCACACAAAATAAATTAGCAAGCAGAACACAAGAAAATCAAGAGGTGTGAGTGTATATGGTACATAGTGGTTACCTGTTACTGTCAGGTGTATATTACATAGTTTGTTTACCTGTTACTGTCAGGTGTATATTATACAGTTTGTTTACCTGTTATTGTCAGGTGTATAGTATACAGTTTACCTGTTACTATCCAGTGTATAGTATACAGTTTGTTTACCTGTTATTGTCAAATATATAGTACAGTGGTGCTTATGAGTTTAATTCATTCCATGACCGAGCTTGTAACTCTGCTCGTATATCAAACCAATTTTCCTCACTGAAATTAACTGAAATGCCATTAATCCGTTCCAGCCCCAAAAAAAACCACCCCAATTTTTTTGTTATGGGTTTTTAAATAAGACAAATGTATTTATAATTAAGAAATACAGTGGACCCCCGCTTAACGATCAGCTCCCAATGCGACCAATTATGTAAGTGTATTTATGTAAGTGCGTTTGTACGTGTATGTTTGGGGGTCTGAAATGGACTAATCTAATTCACAATATTCCTTATGGGAACAAATTCGTTCAGTAATGGCACCTGAACATACTTCTGGAATGAAATAATATCGTTAACCAGGGGTCCACTGTATTGTGTACTACACCCACCTTCACTATTCCACCCACCACCATCTCTACCAAACCCACCACCCTCACTACTACACCCACCACCATATCTACTCCACCCACCATTATCACTACTCTATCCACCACCTTCTCTACTACACCCACCACCCTCACTACTCCACCCACCACCCTCACTACTCCACCCACCACCCTCACTACTCCACCCACCACCCTCACTACTCCACCCACCACCATCACTACTCCACCCACCACCATTTCTACTCCACCCACCACTATCACTACTCCACCCACCTCCATCACTGCTCCACTAACCACCATGACTACTCCACCCACCACTATCAGTACTTCACCCACCTTAATGTTTCTGGAAAAACCCGAGTGTTGAAATGGAGGTTACCTCTTCCCTGGATTTATACAAGAACCAAACAACGGACGAAGTGCCTCACTACAATCTGGGATTAGTGTAAGAGTATTATCTTTCCAGTTATGTCTTGGAAGAGCATGTGGGATGGGACGAAGTACCTGACATTCCTCTGGGTACAAAGTTGGATTGATTTCAGACACGCTGCCAACTAGTGGCTGCATTTCTGAAGCTTGCTCGTAACTCGGATTTTTGGCTCGCAACTCAAAGCAAAAAATCGACCAAGCAATGGCTCATAACTCGGAAAACTCGTAAGTTGGGGCACTCATAAGTCAAGGTACCACTGTATACTGTTTGTTTACCTGTTGCTATCAGGTGTATAGTTTACAGTTTGTTTACCTGTTGTTATCAAGTGTACAGTGTTCAGCTGGTTTACCTGTTACTGTCAGGTGTATAGTGTACAGTTTGTTTATCCATTGCTGTCAGGGGTATAGTTTGTTTATCCACTGCTGTCAGGTGTATAGTGTACAGTATGTTTGCTTATTGCTGTCAGATGTAGAGTGTACAGTTTGCTTATCTGTTGCTGTCAGGTGTATGGTGTACAGTATATGTGTATTTACGTATTGCTGTTGGGTGTATAGTGTACAGTATATTTATGTATTGCTGTCAGGTGTATAGTGTACAGTTTGTTTACTTGCTACTGTCAGGTGTATACTGTACAGTTTGTTTACCTGTTGCTGTCAGGTGCACGGTTTCTTGGTTGTAGGCCAGGATGTGGTGCTCCTGCATGCCAAGTGTGGTACACATCGTCACGTGTTTGTTGATCAACAGGGGTAACATCCCCACTGCGTCTGCCACTGCGATTACTGCCACTTGGTGACACAAGTGTGTGCTAAAGAAAAGAAATTAACATTTTAATAATACTGAAATAAGAAATCACTTTGTCACTCATTACTTACCAGCTAATACTTTCAGTACCAATGATGTTCAAAATGGCTGTAAGTTAACTTTATATCAGGTAACATGATTAATAGTAATAATAATAATAATAATAATAATAATAATAATAATAATAATAATATAGTAAAAATAAGCATTTCGGATTGCAAAAGGAAATATGAAATTGATACATATGTTCAGTATGTATTAGGACTGCAGTTAAAGGTACCTACCAGTACAGGTACACATTTTAACATCTGATCCAGAATCAATCTGCATCACATATTAAAATATGGTGAGTCAGTAGTATTTCTTAAAGAGCACAAATGAAAGGAGGAACATAAAAAAATATAGAAATATTCCTCATCTAATGCTGTGTATCTTTCAGTTGAGAAATATGATCCTAGAGAGGAACCCTGGAGGATGTATGTAGGCCTTGTAGAAACAACACAACTGTAATATCACTTCAAATTTCAATCATGATGTTTTTCAGAGATGTTTTTCAGGGACAGACCATTGATATTATTTGTGGTGTTTACTTTAAAATATTTTGTATAAGTGTATAACTGTGAGTGGTACCTTATTTTATGGGGTGCAGTAAGAGGACAGTGCACCCACCACTTGAATTCCTTAATTACTACCATCATTACCTCTAAGATACAGAATATTTGACACTTTTGATAAACATCACAGTATAGTAAATAACATTTATTGAAATATTATGGATAATTCCTCTTCACAATCAAATATTTGTTTTAATAATAAAACAGCTATAAAAAATGCATACTTAGCACTAGGAAAACAGTCGAACGGCAATATAAAACATGCAGACTAGCAGATGAAAAGGCAGACATTGTTATATCAATGTGCATGATGTAATGTAAGTAAGTGCAGGGAAGCAAGACTTAAAACATGCCATGTTATTACTTATAAAATGAGGAGACAAGTTAAAGTTTGGCATTAAAAGACAAGCAAAACTAATATGGGGTGACAACCTGGAAGTGACAACCTGGGTGACAACATAGAAGTGACAACCCACAAAATAGGAAGGACCAACGTGAGGAACATAAGGCAGTGATTAACGAAGATCAAACCTACCATGTCTTATCTAAGGTTAAACCATATCTTGTATAAAATGAAGAATAATTTTGTACTGATTTTTTTACCAACTTGGAAAATCTACTATTAGCACCTACCAGTGGTGTTCACAGTGTCTTACACTAACTTCCTCTCTACATTTTTTTTCACATTCTTTACTCTAAATTTGCTTAAATAATAATAATAATAATAATAATAATAATAATAATAATAATAATAATAATAATAATACTGTAATAATAATAAATTTTCACATAGTTTTTACAAAATTGGATAACATTTAATAGCACACATGGAAAGCCGTGGTTATGCAGAGCATTTCAGGCAAACTAAAACTTAAGACTAACAGAACATGATATAACTCAATAAACACTGTACATATATGTATACTAAGACATTAAAGATGCAAAGAATAAAAGTACTGTAATTCTAGTGAATTATAACAATAAATATACATGAAAGTAGATTAAAAGCAAAACATGGCACATAACAATAAAAAAAATGGGTTGGGTCAAACTCCAGCCCAAAAATTATGTTCGAGGCACAATTTTTTTTACAGATTATGTGACATTTAATACAGTAACTTAAAAGCTAGATGTACTGATTACTTTTAGTAACAAAACTCAGTACAGTATAAAGAAGTAGTGCTCGTATGGAGAAACCAATACAAAAAAGTAGAAGGTATTTACAGTGATGAGGTAAATCATTTACCTACAGTGTCTAGGCACTCAGTGAAAGTTTTCGCTTAGCTCTGAACTAATACTGTTCCAATTTTTCAGTTTACCTGTTCACTTATTCTACATCTTTGGTTCTTTAATTTGCAGAGAATTTCTATAGATGCTCAATCAAACAAAAGGGATATCAAAGAAGTACGGAGGAACCTCGGTAGGCAAACATCCCCCTACTCAAACAAACTTCAGCACTCGACCAAACAAACACGACATGCCAGAACTTCACTGTAAACTATTTTGCATATCTTAGCATTTTATGGTATTTTCTTATATTTTTTATATAAATAAGTCATCATAGGGCCTACAAAGATTAGTGATAACAACCAACCAAAAAGAAAATTGGTTGCAAAGAATTTGTTCGATGCTGTAACGGATTACCACTCAGACAGCCTTCTGGAATGAATTACATTCGAGTACTGAGGTTCCACTGCATTTGTTTCTGGTGTGGTGTCTACTATAAGCATTCTATTATTATTCTCTAGGAATTGCCTGAGTTCAGAATCAGCATTACAGTGCAATATTTTGAACACAATTAAATGGATGTGTGAACTTCATCCATATTCTATAGGTATTAGGAATTTGAGTAAGGAAATAGTGTGTTTGTATTGGTAGCTTGTGATTGTTCTGAGAGCTGCCTTTTGTTGAGCTACAACTGGACTGAGGTAAGTTGCTGAAGGACATCTCCAGAAACAAATCTCATAAGTGAGGTATGAGTAGATGAGGGAAAGGTAAAGTTTTATGAGTTGCAGGTTGTGGAACACTGGAGAGAATTTTGAAAAGTACCTCTACATAGCACTTTGTCCACCATCAGAAACACTAGCAGCTCTGATGAAGCATGTTACATAGTATGCAGTAGTACAGCATGTTACTAAGCATACAGCAGTACAGCTTGTTATAGTGTAAAGTATAGCATGATACTAAGTGTTCACAGTAGTACAGCTTGTTATAGAGTATAGTACTGAATGGAATGCATGGGGCTTCAACCCATGGCAAGTGAATCCTAAAATTCAAAGGCCAGTGATTTGTTTGCAATCGTGTTATTATGATTTCATGAGTCAATACAGCATGTTACATATTATAAAGTAGTAGAGTATGTTAGACAATACAGCAAGTCCTCACTTAACGGCGTTTTGTTATAATGTTGATAAAAAAAAAAATGATTCTGGGCCGGGGCCATTGTCTGTGTGGAGTCTGCACATTTTTCCCATGTCTGCTTGGGTTTTCTCCAAGTACTTCGGTTTCCTCTCACATCCCAAAGATGTGCACATTAGGTTAACTGGCATGTGTAAATTGTACTAGTATGAGTGAATGTGTGTGTGTGAGAGTGCACTCGTTATTGTTTGTTTTTAGTGCATGGTGGTAGGAGGTGCTCCTTACAATTTCTGCTTTGCAAACATTTATTCCTCAATTTAAGTGACAGTGAGTGCAAAAGGTGAACCGTGCACCCCCTGATGTTTATATCAATTAGCTTATAGTAAAATTGGTTTTACTATATGTCGTTTCACTTATAGTCACAGTAGCCAAGAACCTGTTAACAACATTAAGTGAGGACTTACTGTATATCAAAGTATAGAAGTACCACATATGCTAGTATACAAGTCGAACCTTTACAATTTTGAGGTGTCAATTCAGGTTTAGGCCTATATTCACCGAACAGTCAAACATAGGGGAGTTGAATTACTAGCTTAAAATATCATAGTTTCTACAATTTAATCTTTCATTCTATATTATTTTTACTACAGTAAATGTAAAGTCTCAAATTAATGAGTTATAATTTTCATCAAATTACTTGTAAATACATGTATGGTGTGCAATAGACCACTGTAGCAAAACTGTTTAAAAACACATAATGTCTCTATTCATGGAAGACCTAATAGCATGCCAGACCCAACACCTCAGACAGTTGTGCAGCTTGTATTTATGCATGTGATAGGACTGACTTCATATTCCTAGTATTTTAGTTATTATTTTTAACAGAATGTAATATTCCTTTTATTAAAAATGTGTATGGGGAACAAAAATACAACCGGTAACAAGCAGCAAATATAACTTGCAACTGGTACAAGTTACAGTACTAGAATTATAGCTAGACTAGTAGTGTCACTTCCTCCTTCAGTAATGTGTTGTGGCCTTATTTTCACCTCTGTACGTATCAGCAACTTTTATACTCGTATGTATTAGCCAACCACTAGTTTTAAAGTATTTTTTTGTTTAACACATCAAATATAAGCTCACATATACAATATGTAATACACCACAGTATATAACATTACAGAGTATAATGGTATCCAGCAATACATAATGCCCTTGTATGACACCACTGCCATATTACATCATTGTTTTATAACACCACTGCTATATGACACCACTGGAATATAACATCATTGCTTATGACACCACTGGAATACAATATCACTGCTTTATGACATCAATGTTATATGACACGACACCACTGCTATATGACATCATTGCTATGTGACACCAATACTATATGACACCACTGCCATATGACATCATTGCTTTAGGACACCCCACCCACATGTAATGTAAACAAACAAGGTGAACACGTCTGGTTTTCGTTCATACACTTTTTGTATTATACCACAATACAAACACTTTACACTGTGTAGAAGTTGTCTCCACATTGATACGGTAGAATAAATAAAGAGAAACATTACCATTCTCATGTAACACCATTTTTAGAAGAAATGATGCTCTGAGTGAAGGCATATGGAAATAAGTCACTTTGTCTGACTTTTTTTAATTATCCTAGGTTCTCTACACATATGCTGCTATGTATGATAAACTATGTAACTGTATTTGTGTATACCTGAATAAACTTACTTACATATGAGAGGAATAATTTTCTAGTTACCCCCAGTAATATTATGGTGTACACATTTTCTCTGATGTTGGACTACAAGTCGCCTGGCTACCACAAGCCCTACAAGTTGCCTGGCTACCACATCTCATATTTATGTTAATTTATTCTACTGTGGGGTGTATTTATCATGTTTATATGCTACGTAGCATGTTTACCATATAATTTTGAAGAAAATAATATAGACAGATTAATGGAGATGTCAATATTAAAGTAATATACGACATTTAATGCGCCCAAGAG